GTAGATAGGGCAGACATACAGAAGGTAAATCATCTACAGGACAATCTCCGTGGTGTAGTAGATAGGGCGCTTGCCAGGAGAGGGAAAGATCGGTGGTTCGATTCCCCAGCCACAAAAAGGCGACACCAAACATGTTCAAACATGGCACTTCTTGTTACCCTGCCAGACACTCGACGTTGAGGGGACAACAAAGGACTGGTCGACTCAGTCAGTATACTGTGTCATGGTATAGTACAGGCAGCCACACGCACACATGCTGGGACGTCGCTATAGGAATCACTGCAGTGGGACACATACGGCACGACAGAAAAACTCTTCGACATATTGCATGTCCTGACTACAGGAGCCCTTAGTGTCACCAGAACTCGAGTACCGAGGCCAACGCCATCACCTCGACGCTCGTGCTGTTTTCCTAAAATACACTTAACGATTCTTAGGTAACATGCGATGTTTCAGAATAGTTATTGGTGTCTTGATCAATTGCAGATATCCGTGATCACTAATATTACGCTGAATTCTCCCTGTAAGTATTAGATATTTTGATTTCAAAGATACATGAAATTACGCCCTGATGTGAGGTGAAATGGGGGTTACCGTCGCGTCCAAGATTAATATTTATATGTCGACGTGTATATATATATATATATGTGTGTGTGTGTGTGTGTGTGTGTGTGTGTGTGTGCGTGTGCGCGTGTGGCTGCTTGTACTAGTCAGAGCTAATGCCGATTTTATAGTGCTAGCCCAATGAGATACCATGCCGCAGTTTAAAACTAATACCCCGCTCAGACATACAGACACTCCGAGCCGACCAGTCCTTGTTTCACTTGTCTGAGCCCCTTAATGCCGAGGGCCAGACAGGGTAACAACAAGTACCATCTTTTGGTATGACGGCGCTGGCGATCGAACGTCCAACCTTCCGCTCTCCGGGCGGACGCTCTCCCATAAGATCACGGAGGCGGAAATATTTACAACGGACTGCTCTGCTGATGTTAACTTTGTCGAGAGTTTTACTCTACAAACAAACTTCATGTAGCCAGCTATTTGTTTTCTTTCGATGCCGAGGACCAATGAATGCCATGTTAAGTGTCGTCCAATCGCAACATACGACAAATCGGCCGCCGCCTGTCTACTTGTTTAGGTCTACTAGTTTAGGTAGACAGGTGCACAGTCTACCTTACGGTCTGCTGACAAACATCTACTAACTGTCCCCAGAAGGAGTCTGTAATCTTTTGGCCAGAGATCTTTCTGCTTCACTGCTGTAGTTTTCTGGAATGAACACCGCTAGAAATTAAACTATTGAAATTAAATTAGCATCCTTGGACTATTTCAAGGAACTGATTAAAACACACCTTTCTCGAATGTACGTTGACGTTTACAGCTAGTGAATGCTTCACATCGTTACTCCTAGTGTCTTAAATACTATAATTATTGCCCCACAGAATATTCTGTCACTGGAAGGTGTTCGCAATCTGTGGTAATTTTATCTCCTATCACCTGGAAATAATGTACCTATTGTAAATGGTGTAATTTACATAGCCGTAATGCCGAGCCTTAAGCATACATTTGATGTATGAAATATAGCGCGTTTTATAAACAATTCATCATGATGATGATGAATAATCTTGAACTCCATTTCACCTCACCTGATCCACAGGACAAGCTCGTCTCAAGCGTTTTGTCTCTTGGAACTTCCACTTACATAGTCTTTTTACAAACGATCAAGGTGAGGCCAAATTGGTGACTATCAGATAGCATTATATTACAAACCACATATTACCAATGATCAGTGTTTTTCTAAGATTCCATGAGACTGTGGTAGCTACTGTGGTACATTGCGAGCAAGACAAACGTACATTCCGTTGATAAGTAACCATTGGACCCGTTTATTCAGAAAATCGCTCCACTTAACGTTTGATCACACTACTTTGGACTATAGTGGTCGTAGATCTAACGGTCGATGTAATCACGCTCTGTCGAACACGTCGTCGACAAGATGGCGCCATCACACGTCGCCTCGCCTTGACAAACTATTGTCCTAAAGACAGCTTTTTGTGAGTAAGGGTTCGAGAGGACCTGACATGAGTGATGTCATTCCGATCGACAAACGCACTAACGAGGGTTTGCTACAAATCAAGAGCTGGTCTAACGAGGAGAAGCTCTTTTGGTCACCTCTTTTAGTCGAAGGAGATTTATCCTGCCTCATGATTGTACCTGCTCGAGTTCGCATGAATGAAAGAAAAACGGCCCAACCAAACTTAAATTTCCATCCAGTGCCGATTTGGCGGCGGGTAAATGGTTCATTTGGGCAATCGTAAATTAAGAAATTTCTGCGAAAGAGCATAGTAGCGAAAGAATCCGTTTACACTGTCTGAATAATGATGTGATGGCTTTGAAACTAGTTTCGGGGGAAGCACTATTTGTACATGTCGTCTGCGAGGGATTGTTGATTGTAGATCTGGCGCGCGGGAAAGCGGAAACGAAAAGCACGTGCTGAGTTAACGAGCTTTTGACACCCCAGCGTGAGTTATTACAAGCGGCGCGGTAACAGATGACCAAATGACCAGTTTCTGATTTGAAAATCAAATGGTAACAAAATCGCAACATCATGAGAGTCGTTTGACGGCTTGAATTAGTCTCGAAAATACTCACTTGACTTGACAATAACTACATCAAGATAGAAATTGCGGGGTCGGCGACCATTAAATCTGGAAGGCGTGGACATAACACTCATATTCGAAGGTCGCCGTTACCAAAGGGAGATAATTGGCCAATTAACGGCGTCATTATCTTAAGTGTCTCTGTCATCTCGATGCGCACTTACAGATTCCCGAGGGTTTAGGTAATATTTCACCGTGTTTCTTTTTGAACTTTTTACACACCCATGAAATGGATCTCATTTGGTGAAATATAAAACTACAACAAATATATTATTTGTTATTTTGGATTTTCTTTTAAGGAATGTAACAAGCGATGGTCGGCTCGGAGTCGGTATACTGGGTGTGAGTGGGCTATCCATGGATGGTCCAGCACTATAAAACCTACATTAGTCCGGACAAGTAAAAGCGCACACACACACACACACACACACACACACACACACACACACGTCGCAGTTTAATTTCAATGATCTTGAATCCGACGTACGCGTTAAACCCCATTTCACCTCACCTCACCTGATGACTGTGTTTCCCCGTTGCAGTCTGTAATATTCTATAGACGAGACAATCCAGTGATACCATGAGCATCGATCCACGCAATTGGGATACGATGACATACATCAACCAAGTCAGCGAGGTTGACCCCTGATCAAGTTAGCCGCTTCCTATGACAAGTTTCGTCGTTTCTTACGAAAAGCATGGTTGCTGAAGATCTGTGCTAACCTGGATCTTCACGGTCTCATGATATGTGTGACCAGTTGTCAGCTAGTGAGCTGCGAATGGCACCTGTCATTTTTCATAACTTTGACAGCATATCATCAAACACAAACTTTGCAGTAAAGTCAAATATATGGCAGGGAGAAACATGTTTTAATATTGTGTTCAAGTAAAGGGAGTTCAATCCAGTTCATATGACCACTTAATGAAGGACTGGTTGACACGGGCTTCCATGTTAGTACAAATATATCTTTCTTTTAAGAGTAATCCAATTACTGACATCTTTTGAGGAGTGTTGGAGCTGAAATCTAACAAAACATTTTCCTCCAAATTCACATGTTTTCTACACTAAAGTGTCTGTAAGGTAGGACAGTTCCTATACAAAGCCACCAAAGAAAGTACCACGTCTCTGGTTTGTATTGGCAATGTCCATATTAAGGCATATGTTATCAGTATCCTCTTTGTGAAATGTGGAACAGCATAATGTTCGTAAGGCCAACCTGACACTTGCACGATTTTTGTTCCCGCAATGGCTTGCACTTCGGCGTACCAATGATTAAAGTCCTCGGGAACGAGTGTGAGGAGTGTGTGAGTTGGGTTTAACGCCGCTTTTAACAGTATTCCTGTTATATCACGGCGTGTCAGCTTAATGTGGGAGGAAAGCCCGAAGTGATGCAGGTCTAAGACGTTTACCACTTCGGTGAAACTCACGGGCACGGGTATGGTACTGACAAACCTAGAAACATAATCGGGGCGAACCGGGATTCGAACCCACAATCATAGGTTTCTGCCGTGCCCAAGGGACGCAACTCTGCACAGCGAATCGCGCGCCTTAGACGACTGGGCCACCCGTGCCCCCGAGGAGTGTGTGAAGGGTGCGGGGGTCGTAGAGACAATGTTGAAATGTTAAAAAAATTTGCACGCATCAATTTTCGTGCCATGTGCGTGCCACTTGCGTGAACCATGCGTGAACACTGCACAAACTCGGTGCGAACACTGTCGACGGTGCGTGTCAATGCGTGCCATGGGAATCCACTACACGCTCTGACACGCCATGCCACGCATTGGTCACGAACTGTCCACGTTGTGGGCGCGCCTGTTCGCGCCGCGTTCACGCATTCGAGCATGTCGCGGAGTGATCGTGCGGTCGTTAGGGTGTTGTCACGAGTTGTTCAAGCAATCATGGAACGCCAAGCTCACGCATAGGTCGCGCACGTCATGAACCATTCGCGCAATGAACGAACTGCTCACGAAGTGTTTACGCATTGTTCGCGCGTAGTTCCCGACCAATGAGCGACGACGGCGCTCGCGTCAGTGCGTATGTAAGCGGGTCTTGGCCATTCTGCAACGTGCCAGCAAACGGACAACATGCCTAAAGCCACCCTGACACTTGCACGATTTTTGTCCCTGTAATGCCGCGCAATGCGTCGTGGCAAGGCGTGCCATTTCGGTGGTACGCAGCGGAGCGTGAAGCCGCTTTTGCGCCCTGTTTGCGCACTGTACACGCATAGGTTACGCAATGTCTACGCAATGCACGGCAAAAAATGGGCCGCACTGGCACGCAATGGCACGACTTGTTTACGTATAGGTTAAGTATTGTTCGCGCATTGTTCACGTCTTCCGTACCGCAATGTCCCGCAGTGTCACATACGACACGCATAGTTCCCGCTGTTTTCCCGCATCTCCACGCATTGCCCCGATGACTCCGCGCATGCGTGAAGTCGTCGTGGCAATTTTTGGTCAGGCTTTGTCCCGCTTGGTGGCACGCTTCAAATCTCGCTATTGGCGTATGTATATAAACTCCAAATAGAAGAGACGCTTCATTCCTCGACTCGCTGTGGACGATACAACATGTTGAATACCAGAGACACTGCTATTGCAGAACAGAGAAGGTGTCTATATCTGGCAGCTGCAGGACTATTACTTCTTGAAGAGCAGGAGAAAAGGCAGCAAGAGCAAGAGGAAGAGCATGAGAAAGAAGAATAGACAACCCTAACTAGAACAAGGAAAGCAAGGACAGTGTTGGTTAGGGAATGGTTGGCTAGAAGACATGAGTTCAGACATTATGATCAGCTATTGACAGAACTCCATAAGGAAGATCCCAGAGGCTACAGGAATCACCTGAGTATGACACCTGACCTGTTCCAAGAGATAGTGGAGAAGTTAACCCCTCACCTTAAGAAAGAGACCACATTCATGAGAGAACCGCTTGAAGTTGGACTCAAGCTGGCTGCCATCCTCCGCTTCCTAGTCACTGGAAATTCCTATCCAAGTCCACAGTACAGCTTCAGAGTTGAAGCAAGTACAATCTGCAAGTTCTTACCAGAGGTGTGCAAAGCCATCATTGAGGTCTTCAAGGAAGTGCTCAGCTGCCCCAAAACTCAAGAAGAGTGGAAGGAGGTTGCTGAGATGTTCAGCTCCAGATGGAACTACCACAACTGTCTTGGGGCCCTGGACGGCAAGCACGTTCCTATGAAGAAGCCATCCAAAGTAGGCTCCCTCTATTATTATTACAAGGGCTTCCACAGCATTGTACTCATAGCAGTTGCAGATGCTGGGTATAAGTTCTAGTATGTTGATGTTGGGGCAGAGGGTGGTGCCCCATTGAGCCAGTCCTTCTGTCTCTTGTCATACAACTGTGGGTAATCTTTTACATATTCTGCTAATTTCATGGTACCCTCATCTGTCAACTTATACTCAGGAATTTCTTCCTTGGACACTCTGATTCTCTTCTTCTGTTTTACTGTGGGCTCTTCTTCACTTGGCAGTTATATTTAAGTCTCTGTAAAAACTTCAAGTTGTTTCTGTGGAACAAAATCCACACTTGAGCAGGAGGAAGGAGGAGAAAGATCCCTCTCCCGTGTCTGCAATCTCTGTCTCTGGCCTGTCCTCTTCCTGTCTTTTTTGCAATGGTCTTCCCCTTCTTCTACAGACTTTCTCCTTGTAAGGCATGTTGTCCGTTTGCTGGCAAGTTGCAGAATGACCAGGACACGCTTACATACGCACTGACGCGAGCGCCGTCGTCGCTCATTGGTCGGGAACTACGCGCGAACAATGCGTAAACACTTCGTGAGCAGTTCGTTCATTGCGCGAATGGTTCGTGACGTGCGCGACCTATGCGTGAGCATGGCGTTCCATGATTACTTGAACAACTCGTGACAACACCCTAACGACCGCACGATCACTCCGCGACACGCTCGAATGCGTGAGCGCGGCGCGAACAGGCGCGCCCACAACGTGGACAGTTCGTGACCAATGCGTGGCATGGCGTGTCAAAGCGTGTAGTGGATTCCCATGGCACGCATTGGCACGCACCGTCGGCAGTGTTCGCGCCGAGTTCGTACAGTGTTCACGCATGGTTCACGCAAGTGGCACGCACATGGCACGAAAATTGATGCGTGCCAATTTTTGAACATTTTGAAATTCTCTCTAGGACATGGCACGCACCCCCGCACCCTTCACACACACCTCACGCTTGTTCCCGAAGACTTTAATCATTGGCACGCCTAAGTGCGAGCCATTGCGGGAACAAAGATCGTGCAAGTGTCAGGGTGGCTTTACAAGGAGAAAGTCCGAAGAAGAAGGGGAAGACCAGTCCTCCCACATTAAGCTGACACGCCGTGATATAACTGGAATACTGTTAAAAGCGGCATTAAACCCAACTCACTCACTCACTCAGTCAAAGGCGTGTTTAAGTCTCCTAAGACATGAGAATGGTCGTTCAGATGTTGCAGTAGTGATTGTCAGGTAAATCTTGAGCAGCTTGACAACTTCACTGACATGCCCATCAAAACCCTAGATGTGCCCAAGACATCACATGTTGTATGAACTAATGTAACTTGTTAATATCATTCCCTCTGTTTGGACACAGATGAAATCGTTTCTGGAAGCATCTGCCATGTGACATGAAGACGTTTGAAATCAACATGTTCTTAGTCAGAAATGGATACTGGGAAATCAAAACTTTTGTTGTTTGCAGCATTTAATAAAATGGTTTAAAGACAAGCAGTTGCATTGAAGCTTTCTTGTTCTTGAAATACAGTTGCAGTTGACTACACATTTCGCATTTTCCGAAGTGTATTAATAAAGAGGCGACTAACGGGATCGGGTGGTCAGGCTCGCTGACTTGGCAGATGCATGTCATCGTATCCCAATATCATCGACCAAAGCTCCTAATGTCAATCACTGGCTAATCACTCGATTACTTACAGACCGCTGGATTACTTCTGAGTGCGGCGTTGCACAACAAACAAAACGACAGTTTGGATTAACAGAATCAAAAACATGGAAAATAACGTAAATGTGTGTAGTAGATTAAAAATACAATACCTGAAGACAACATGATTAGCTGAAGACGGCGTCTTTGAGGAAGATATCTCCCACTGATCAACATGTTGTGTTGCATACAATTGTTCAGGATCGAGAACTTTCAAAACGTGACAGAACAGTTTACACCTTCCATTTTATTTCTATTTCTACATGTTAAGACTACTTTCAAAGAGTCAATCATAAAGGAATGTACAATTTGTTTGTTTGTTTGTTGTGTAACGCCGCACTCAATAATATTGCAGCTATATGACGGCGGTCTGTATATAATCGGGTCTGGACCAGACGATCCAGTGATTGACAAAATGAGCATCGATCCACGCAATTGGGATCGATGACATGCATCAACCAAGTCAGCGAGCCTGACCACCCGATCCCGTTAGTCGCCTCTTACACAAGCAAAGTCACCTTTTATGGCAAGCATGGGTTGCTGAAGACCTAGTCTACCCCGGATCTTCACGGGCAAGGACTGTACAAGTGTAAATGGAAACAAAAAAAATATCATAAAAGCTGGCATGAATATCAAAATAAAAGATAACCTTGATGAACGCGAGAGTGCATTGCTATTCTATAATTCTGTTTAAAAAGACGTTACTAAAACAACAACAACGACGATGCCAGAACTAACTAAATAAAGAGGGAAAAACGGGACAGTCGGTTTATCATTAATGACATGTTTTGTGAATATTCACTGTGAAATGGACAGCCCCGCAAGACAGAAAACCCACTGCACATGAAAATCATGCATTTTCCCGATGACGGCACGAAGAGATCGTTATCAGACGTGTAGACAGGCTTGTATCAACAAGCTTGCGAAACCCGCCACCTGTCATCCGACCTTAATGACGAGGCAATTTATAATGCACGTGCGAATCATGCGATTTGCTTAATTTTTTCCCATGTCAATGTACATTGCTGCAAATGCACGGGGATTTCGTTCGCTCTTCCGAACATGATTTACTTCAGGCCCCTTTCAAATAATTTCGTGATGCACGAGCGACGCCGCTCAAAGTATTCGGGAAAAAAGGTAAAGGTTTTGACCAATGTCAATTTATCACTCTGAGTTTCGAGGAAACGTGTACTGTAAGATACCATATTTGACTGACCATCAAGTAATTAATATTGTTACGTGTGGATTCCCAAATTGAAACAATATTGTAACCCAGAAATCTGTACGTAAAAGAATTTAGTGTGAAACCAACAAACAATCAACAAGTGGTATACAATTACCAACTAGGTTTACAAATCAATACAAATTACTGCACAGCAATTACAGTGGCAGTACACAATAGAGTGGTAGTACACAATACAGTGGCAGTACACAATAGAGTGGTAGTACACAATAGAGTGGCAGTACACAATAGAGTGGTAGTACACAATAGAGTGGCAGTACACAATAGAGTGGTAGTACACAATACAGTGGCAGTTCACAATAGAGTGGTAGTACACAATACAGTGGCAGTACACAATAGAGTGGTAGTACACAATAGAGTGGCAGTACACAATAGAGTGGTAGTACACAATACAGTGGCAGTACACAATAGAGTGGTAGTACACAATACAGTGGCAGTACACAATAGAGTGGTAGTACACAATACAGTGGCAGTACACAATAGAGTGGTAGTACACAATACAGTGGCAGTACACAATAGAGTGGTAGTACACAATACAATGGCAGTACACAATAGAGTGGTAGTACACAATACAGTGGCAGTACACAATAGAGTGGTAGTACACAATACAGTGGCAGTACACAATAGAGTGGTAGTACACAATACAGTGGCAGTACACAATAGAGTGGTAGTACACAATACAGTGGCAGTACACAATAGAGTGGTAGTACACAATACAGTGGCAGTACACAATAGAGTGGTAGTACACAATACAGTGGCAGTACACAATAGAGTGGTAGTACACAATACAGTGGCAGTACACAATAGAGTGGTAGTACACAATACAGTGGCAGTACACAATAGAGTGGTAGTACACAATAGAGTAGCAGTACACAATAGAGTGGTAGTACACAATACAGTGGTAGTACACAATACAGTGGCAGTACACAATAGAGTGGTTGTACACAATAGAGTGGTTGTACACAATAGAGTGGCAGTACACAATAGAGTGGTAGTACACAATTACAGTGGCAGTACACAATAGAGTGGCAGTACACAATAGAGTGGTTGTACACAATAGAGTGGCAGTACACAATAGAGTGGCAGTACACAATAGAGTGGCAGTACACAATACAGTGGTAGTACACAATACAGTGGCAGTACACAATAGAGTGGTTGTACACAATACAGTGGCAGTACACAATAGAGTGGCAGTACACAATAGAGTGGCAGTACACAATAGAGTGGCAGTACACAATACAGTGGTAGTACACA